CTTGCTATCAATTTTACAGTTGATCCTTCCTCATATAGCTTCCCCTCATAAAAAAAACCCCAAAACCTCAGATTTTTTTCCCAAGCTACCAGACCAGTGCTTCTTAGCCTTGGCAACCTGAAGATGGCTGGGAAATTCTGGGAGTTGAAGTTCACACATCTTCAAGCTGCCAAGGTTGAGAAACACTATACCAGACAGTCAATGTATTGAAAAACATGAAGGTTGGGAGGGGGGGAATTTTGTTGCTCCCCAATTGATGGTAGCTCAGCTAGTGGGTCCTGATTGGCTTATAGCATTCTTTGTTTAAATGCATAAAGATGACTGCATATTTTTAAGTTGGCAGAGATCAGTAAATAGGGAAGATGAACTTGTGATAGGTTGGAAATATTGGTAGTGTGGAAGTGCTCCAAGTCTCTTTCCTTAACCTATGCATCATGCATTTGATGGCTAACTTAATGCTTTCTTGGGCTCATTAAACATTAAACCATTTAAAGGCTTAATAAGTGCCCTTTTTCCTGATTTGATGATATTGCTATACTCCTTGGCAAACTGATATCTGATTTGATATTTATTAATTGTTATTATTTTTGTTATTGCTTTATTTTTCTTTATTATTATTTAATTATTAATTGGTCTCAGATTAAAAAGTAAAAACATACTGCTTGCCACATTGAATAAAGACAGATGAACTTCAGTTCAGGCAGACCTCAGATATACAGCATTTACTTTTACTGTAGACTGAAATGTTAAATTAACCAAACGGAGCCTGATAGAGAAGACAATGAATTATAGAATTTAAAGCCTGTTTTGAATGTCAGAACTGGCTTGAACACATCAGGTTTCCACATAGGGTTACCAGACATCTAGGAAAAGGAGGACATGGCCTCCTTGTTGTTCTCATGTCCTCCATCTGGCAGGTATTGCCTTCCAAATCAAATACTGTCTGGTTTTTGAGTATCTTTTTCTCCACAGTGCTGCGCTTCCCTAAAAAGTCCTAATACAAATTAACAAGCTCAGCTCTGTGACCTTACAGGTAGTCCTTGTTTAATGACCACTCGTTCAGCAACCATTCGAACTTGTGACATTGCTGAATGAGTGATAGTTATGACTGATCCTCAAGTTCTGGCTGTCACAATGCCCTCATAGTCACATGATCCTGATCTGGGCCCTTGACAAGGACTACCTATAATTAGTACCCTCCAGCCAGCTAGCCTGAAGTTGACAAGACCTTAATCAGTTACACTCTGAAGGCTTTTGCCTCCTAATAGGATCTAACACATTCCTGCCATTGAAAAACTAGTCTTTTATATGTAGGCCTAGGTACTTTTTTTTTTTTTAGTTTTTCGCTGTAATTTTTGTTGCAGATGCCAAGAAAGTTAAAGTGTTATTGTGTCCTCCTTTCCAATTGTCTGTGTCCTCTGCCTGTTCAGTTATCTAGTAACCTTACTTCCAGATAAATAATACCATTCCTGTTCAAACGTTTTCTAATTTCAGCAGGGTAGTTAGTTCTAGAACATATAGGGAGTAAGAAATCCTTGCAGATTACTAGAGATGTACAAATACATTCTGATCTGCCCAACCTAAGGCCACTTGGTCTTGCTGATCAATCTGACACTAGCAGGTTTTCCATAGTATGCATGCGAGCTGCAACACATCTTCTACTTTCTCCCTCTTCCTGTTAAAGATTACAGTTTCCATCTTACTTTTAGTTTGCTGTGATTCAAGAGAGCTTCACCTGTGTATAGGTCTATGGGGAGTTACCTACATCTGATAGGAGCCTAGGGTTAATGATCACTAGCTCAGGTTTATTGGCTGGAACTCTTAAAACATAGGACTTTACAACACTTGAACGTAGGCACGCACCAGCTGTTGTACAAGATACTACTTTGCTACTTAGGCAAGGTAATGGAATACAAAAAGGAGGCATCTGAGTTATTTGTCATGAGAAAGGCATTACCTTCCAGCTGCAGGAGCAATTTCTGAATCCCCTGCCCCCCCCAACAAAAATAGCAACTAGCCTCCACAATATCTACACGTAGACACAAAGAAAGCAATTTGGATTGATTTTTCATATAATCTTAAAAATGTTACAGACGCCCATTCTATCCCTCTCTATATTTTTCCTTATCTGTAGACCATTCAGTAAATATACTACTTTAGCAGAATATTTATATGCTTTCTCAATTATATAAAGAAAAGTCAATTAATATTTTCACTAAACTGAAAGGGGTCAGGATTTAACTTCCCCATTACAAGGTTAGGCAAATTAACAATAGCAATGAAGGCTGTAAAATAAGCCCATGATTACATCATACCTCTTCAACTGGCTGAGCCAAAATTACAAAACCAATCCAAAGTTGTCTTGCTAATTCATGTTAAAAACCTTTCTTTCAGGAGCCATCATCATAACTACTAAGATTATGTTTTCTAAATTTTTTGTTTCTAAAGAAAGAGAAGAATTTCTGGCACAGGGAGAAAAAAATTTATGGATGTTATTTGGATTTTTAGAGAAAATTGATACACACTTGGGCAATCAATCTCATGTCTCTTTTGCAGGACTCTTCTAACTGCATCTCCTGGAGAAGTTAAAATAATTATGAATAACTACAATACAGACAAAAACATTATTAGTCTCTTCATATATCATGTCTTACCTTACATTTCCTATTAATTTGCAACATCTCGGCACATTCATCCATTTCAGAAATATATTTTAATATGATTTTAATATAAAATTTGACTGTTCACATTATCTATGATGTGATTATGAAAGAAAGGATCTGACCAGCTAGAAAAAGATGTGTGGTCGATAAAAAGAATATATTTGTCTCATAGACAGTGTGGTTACCAAACATACTAGTTTTGGAATACTGATGCTGTAATTTATTGATTACGTACAATTATTTTTAATAGTATCTAATATTTTGGTTTATAAATGAACAGAATGTCATTTTTCCTATTACTGTACTACAAATTCTGGTTATAGCTTCCAAAGGCTTTGGGTTTCTTTCTCCTTTCCAATGAATTAGTGAATCTTCCCCAAGCCTGTTTTGGTTTACATTCATAGTATCTCCATTTTCACTCTACTGCTTATTTCAAGTAACAAATAACTCATTCCAGCTGTAAGTTTGTACCTTACATAACTCCACAAAGAAAGTTGCCCTCTTAATAACTTCCTTCCTGACTAAATCTGCTGTCAGAGTTTCATACCAATAACAGAAGTACTCACGGAGTAGTCATCAATAGTACAGTAGTTTCACTAACGTTCATAAACCTTTCAAACCCTTCATCCAAGGGTTGCAGTTTTGGCCCCGGTTCAGAGAAAGAGAGGAGGAAGAACAATGGAGTTAACTGAGTAAAACAGATGGGAGATACAGTGATTTCATCTTGATACTTTGGATTGTTGAAAGATAAATCAACCCTAGATTTATCAGTCCATTCCATTCCAACTAATATTTCACTTTAATCAAACAGTGTGGGTAATGTGTTAAAAAAAATCTTCAGTAAAATTATTTTAAAAAAAATGTGGGTAATATAGATCAGATGGCTTAGGCATTTTTCCATGAACACTGGGTTGGGTGCAGAGCAAGCAGAAACAGAGTAGGTTTAAAAGTGGAGTGCTTAGTATCAAGGTCAGGTAATAGAAGCCCCAGATAAGCCAGGTTCTGTGACAAATTGAGGTTTGATCTATGCATGATGTAGCATATTTCAAATTCTGTTTATAACTACTTCCTCAGCTTGCAGCAAAACAAGTTTGAGAAACTGAATCTTGGTCTGAAGGCAAACAGAACTGGTCTTTGAAAGGTGCTAAAAGTTACTCTTTTGGCCCTTTGGGAACACTAAATTCCTGTGATCATTATAATCCAAATAGGTCTGCCAATACTTTTTGTTCATACGTATTCAATTTCTAAATCAACCTTATCTGATCTTTAATTTACAGAAATAGATGGGAGTACCTTCACCAATTCTCAAAAATAATTCAACCACACTAGTACATGGACTTATATTTAGTTAAGATTTCCTCAAGTCAGGTGCAACATCTGGTACCTTCATAGGTCCATGCATATTATTTTCTTGGCAACAAAACCAAATTGATTTGCTATTGCGTTCTTCCAGGATGTTTTTCCATCTTTCCCCTCTATCTTTCAGCCCTAGGATTTCCTGGATTGGATTTCCATCCAAGTACTAACCAAAACCAACCCTTTTTAACTTGTTCAAGATCAGATTTGGCTAGGTGCTACCATAAGTTTCAAAGCTTGTATTTGGGACATAGTTAAAAAAAAAAAAAGTATTACTTGAAAGATTGTTACCACCCCAAAGTAATTTTAGAAATGTGTAGAAGGTAATCTGTTAAAATCAAAGCATTTCTTTCATGAGTCCTTAGATGTGGGCATAGGAAGGCCTCATGTCACATGCTTGCAGTTGCCCTCCTAAATCATATTTTGGCCCTATGAATAAGAATTGGCAGAAACCAAAAACTGAAGTCTAAATTTTCTGTAAATATATGTAAGATGGTATCTTTGGGAAGTAGGGCATATTTATTTAAAACCTTTTGACTCCTCTGCTCGACTCAGATACAAAACTTTCCATCAAAATTAAGAACTAATGGCAACCAGAAATAGAAATAAATTAAAATACATTGTAGGTACAAACTCAACAGCAACATTAAGTTGTTATGATAAAAAGAATTCCAAAATTAACTTCCAAAATATCAAAAACAGAAATGGGAAGCAAGCAAACTGAACAACCTACTAGCTGGAAGAATCTTGATCAAGAACTGAAAACAAATATAGTACAAATTTAGTGCCTTGGCCATACAGATTTAGAAGTATTAATAGCAAGATAAACAAGTCCATTTTCAGCCTCTTAGTAAAGTGTTACAGGTCTCACTCTCAGTCTATCACATTTGAGACACATTACTATGGGAACCGCAGATATCAAGTCTGTAATGATCATTGATTCAGTGGAAAGAAGGACTGCACACATGGGAAGCAAATGTATAATCGCCAAGGATAAAAGTTATTGCTGTTAGATCAAAACTTTACAATAAATACACTATTGAAATGTATATAACAGTATATACACAATAAATGAATCATTCATAAAAAACACATATTATAAGGAAGTGCCAGTGCAATTACATGCACAATGACAATGTGGACTTTTCCCAGGAAGAAGACACTCCCCCAGAACTCGGGTGGAGATTAGAAAAGGATCTCTTTTCCTCAGGATCCTACCTTTCTCCAGAACTTCACATTTCTCTTTCAGCTTCCCTGTTGTGCAAATTATAATTCAGCTCTTAAACACTCTCTGGAATGCTAAAAGATGACCAATTGACCATGCAGCCTGGTCCATTCAGAGTTTCATTACTTCTAAACCCACATACCTTTGTTGAACCAGTAAAGTTCAATAAAAGGTTCTAAGTAGGACATGTCCTTGTGAAATGTTATAATTGGTTCTTTTGATGGGTGTTCTTATGTGGATAGGAAAGATAAATGGATAATTCAAGCTGCAAATTGTTCTTGTCATCCTGTTCACTTTCTGCATAAGAAATATGGTCACTGTGTTAGATTAAGGATGTTGGTCCATCTATCTATTGAGCACTGTCAACTGACCACCTTTTGTTGTCCATGTCGATGAAGCATGAGTCAAGAATATCCTTGTGTAAAAGACAAATTAACTTTTTTAACACACTGGGAGAGCAAAATGGCAAGAATGACAGTGCCTCCCTTGTTTTCAAAATCCTGCAGAAGTTGGCCTCACTCAGTTCTTATTTAGGGGCAACACTGCTTCCAATGCCTTACTGTTCTTTCCGACATTTTGATTTACAACTGTGATGCAGAGGTGAGCAGCAAGCTTATGCTACTTATGATGTGCTGTGTTTGCAAGGATTTCTGAAAAGGGTTTGAAGGGGTTCAAGAAACAGGAAATGCTAAACCATGGTTTGTTTTAACCACAATCTTTGGAATAAGCCACAGCTAGTTGAGATCATACCACATGATAAATTAAAAGCAAATCATGTCGCAGCTTGGGGTAATAGATAAACGCAGCCCCTGTGATCACAGAGCCACAGAACTAGCTTGTCTGGTTTTATTCATACAAGCCTGACCAGAACCTTCCTGCTTTCATAGCCCAAAACTGAAGAGCACAAAACAAATTCAAACACAGTCACTGTTGCTATTCAGACGCATGCAATTACTGTATCATAGGAAGGGCTTTCCACCTGGCCAAATTGTTTGCAAAATCCAAGATTGCCCATACCAACTGAAACTGAGTCTCTAATCCCTGAACTGGAAAGATGGAAGGTTAAGCCTGAGATTTTTCTCAATGGGTTCAGCCATGGCTCTGAGGTCATCCATTGTGTGCTCTCCAGATGTTGCTGAACTTCCACTCCCAATAATTTCAGCCAGTAGGCCTGCAATCTGGAGTGGCTGGCATCAATATCCAGTTTCTATTTTATAAAATGCATTAGACTGAATCAGCCTGACACTCAACTACATGGCTTCCTGACATCTCAGAACATGCCTCACCTTAAGCAGTGCAACATCTGGATGGTCCTAACCACTGAGACTGAACCGAGGGAAGGGGCACAGGAACCGAGATCTCTCAGTCTTCAGACATTTGAAGGAACCGTTTCTTCACTAAAGAGAGGCATTCTATATATGGTCATGGGCATTTTATTCCATGGCTTAATCTCATGACTTCTGGGCAACTGAGAGATTCTACCTATACTTAGAGAATTCAGCCCTCCGCAAAGAACTTAAACTGCCACTGGGTCACACACACACGCTGGGGTGAAGAGAAAGAGGACTCTGTTTTGCCTCTGTAGAGCTCTTCAAAATGACCAAAATTTGCAAAGCACATAGTTGGTACTTTTAACTGTCTTTGTACTTTGTTATTCTTCTAGTGAAGTCTTAAAATACACAATTATTTCACTGTTCTGTGATAACAGTTTTCTAAGTTTTGATCGATCAATTGCCTACGGTATATTTTTGTCAGCAAATGCTAGATCAGCCTTAACAACAATCAGACAGTGCAGACCATATTGTCATCTTAATGTCAGCAAAAAATGGCATTGCCCACACTCCTGGATACTTGTTTGCCTGAACACTGGAGTATTTATCTTCATTATTTAAGCAAGCACAGCTTTTGAAGCATGAACGTGAACTGGTACTTTGAACTGGTTAACAATGGCCACAGTATAGCCAGTTCTTGTCCTGAGCCAACTGGTTGAGGCTCCCTAGGAAATGCCAAGTAACCAAAGGAGGAGATCTTATTCTGCATTTGGATTAACTAGCTTAACTTTGTTCTTCATGAGTATATAGTCCTGCACAGAGACTGGCATCTTTGAGAGAGGAATCCAAAGGAATTTAGCATCCATGCCTGCACTGTAATGAGTCTGTGGATATTTGCTCATTAAGGCATGTTCCATGCAGTTCACAACCAGTGAGAGGTTTGAATTCTGGCACATTTTAACTAATCTTTCTTTCTTTATTGCATCTGGGGAAAGAATAAAAGGGAGGAGAAAATATTTTCAGTAATAGGATTCACAGCTCTTGATTAAGTATTTTGATGTGATTATGATTCTAAAATATAAAGCAGTAAAGACAAATTGCATTGGATTGTTACATTAAATACATAGAGATACATACTAAGAGAGCTAACAAGGTCTGGCAGATTAACACATCATTTTGTTCTCTTATTCCACAAAGAATTCTGATAGTATGATAGGGTAAGAGGGAGAAAGAGGATTTCACACTTTACACATAAGCACAAATCAGCTCATTCCTTGGAGCTGGGCAAAATTATTGATGCCACACGTAGGCAGGATCCTCACTAGTGATTTATAGCATCTTCTGGCATCATCCAGCTATAGCTGGGCTTATACTACAGTAATGAGAACAGGACTATAGTAATGCAATGGTGACTAGGCGGCACTAGAAGATGCTCTGAATTGTTACTGGAGAAATGGCCTTACTGCCAGTTAAGGGAAGGCAGTGGGCACCGAGATAATTTTAGAGCCTGGAATTCGTGGAGTTGGAGTCCACAGCTCTGAAGGTGCCAAGGCTGAGAAACACTGCTTTAGAAAAATACAGAACAGGCATCTGTAGCAATAACTATCTACATGACCATCCAGCTACCCAGAATGTAAATTGTTTTTAAAATAAAAATGAAATAGGTTGTCATGAATAGCCTCAACCCAGGTGCCGGTGATGAACCTGCTGCTGCTCCCTCCCTGAAGGTGGGTTGTGGGGCTCCGGAGCTTGGCCCTGAGGTGACTATCAAGCATGGGGAAGTGCTTTGGGGGCTAACGAGGGTGGGGAGATGGGGTGGCCATGTTGAAGGGGATCTCCCCATGGGCAAAATGGAGAGAGGGCATTTAAATGCTCATCACCTCAAAGACACTTGCAAGTTCCTTTCTGAACCAAGATGGGACAGATTCCCCTGACACCTGACAGCTCCAGAGTTTCTTTAGGCCCTTTACATTTTTTCATAGCTTACCTTCCTTGAGATAATGTTCACCATACTGCTGTTGGATAATGGGAGGAAGGCTAGTCCAAATGGCCATTTTTTCTTTTATGACCCGGATTCTATCAGAGAGCTCTGTTTTGAATAACCCAGGTTGAATACAAGACACTTTCACTCCAAAGGGCTTCATGTCCTGTCTGCAAAACAGGAAAAGACATCACCAGTAATTCAGTAATTTACACTAGATGGGTTTTTCAGAGAGAGAAAGTATCACTGAGTTTGGTAGCACCTGCTCTGACTAACAAATGTCATTAAATAGCTATTAAAAGGCATAAGCTTTCATGGGCTGCAGCTCCTGTCATCAGAGCTGTGGCCCATGAAAGCTTATGCCTTTTATTAACATTTGTTTGTCGGAAAAGGGGCTACCAGACTCTAGATTTTTTGCCAGCATAGTCTGCCACAGCTCTCCTCCTACAATGCTGGATCTGTGTCTGCACATTCCTGATGGCCATTATACTGGACTGCACTAAGGCTGGCTGGATGTTTGTTAATATTTAAAACTTTCTCTTCCCCCTTGGGACAGTACCGAAGAAAAGCCATTTCTTTCCCAATCTGATCCAACCGATTTAGGAAAAACAATCCTCTCCCCAAATCAGATTTCTCCTGCCCACATTCTCCCTTTTGCCATTACTTTACAAGTAAGAGAAGATTCAGTGTAGGTTAAAATCTTGACCCACTTGCAGTGAACTGCATATGGACGAGTCCCATGGGTCTCTAGCTGGTTTCTCCTATCCCCTCTGCCTCTGCATCTAGATGAGGGACCACTGCAAAGATCAGGAGTCCAATCCCTGTGCCCTTGCCTCCATCCAGCCATATCGTGATGTAAGTTTCTTGTGTACTGGAGCATGAATGATGGGATATGATGCTGACATTACAGCACACTCGGACTGGAATGAGTCTTAGGTATGATGAACCTTATTTTTGACTCCTGTCTTACCTTAAATTGTTGGTAAATGCTTCTGCTCCAAATTTGGATGGACAATAACCACCTGAACATATTGCCAGAACACCGCCAATGCTGGTTACGTTTACTATTCTTCCTTTGGCTTTCTTCACCAATGGAAGCATGTTTAACGTAACGTTTATGAGGCCCATCAGGTTGACTTCAATGGGGGCTCTAAAATGCTCAATCCTCAGCCAATCGGTTGGTGCTGATGGTCCCATGACCCCAGCATTGTTGATGAGGCCCCAGAGACCTGCAAAGGAACAAAAAACCCACAAAAAATAATTTATGACATCTGAATATAAAAATCATGTTCTGACCATTATGAAAAGCATTAAGAAAGATAGCGCAGGTACACACACGCACATACACACAGGTTGCAACAATCATAATCCAGAAATATTCATTGTTTTAGCAATGCATAATCTATTTATCCTGAAAAGGACTAAAGGATGTAAACAAACTGAAAAACTGTCCAGTGGAGGGTCTGAAAATCAAGCTCTATGAGGAGCATCACAGGAAGCTGCCATAATAAATGATACTTCTGGTCCATATAGCTAAGCATCACCTGCATTAACTGGCAGTGGCTCACCACAGTTTTTATAGCCCTTCCTGGAGATGTCAGGATTGATTCCAGATGCAAAGCAAAAGCTCTGTCACCACTGTTTATCCTGAAGAAGAGATTAGGGGAAGATGCCAAAGATCTGAAGGGCTGTTGGGCAGAAGAGAGACCAGAGAGATTCTTTTCAGACAGCTAGAACTAAGAAAGGGGGAGAAGCTAGCTAAACATGAGGAGGAGCTGCCCAATGATACAAGTTGCTTGGCAGTGGAACAAGTCCCTTTGGGTATGCCTTTGCTAGAAATATTGACTTCTTCTGCCAGGGCAATCCCCAAAGTGCTTTCTGGACACAATTTAAGATATGGGTGTTAACTTTTAAACAGCCCTAAATAGCTTAGCATCTGAACGTATGAGAGATAATCTCTGTGGTTTTTGACCTTCCCAGATATTATGGTATACAGGGCAGGCCTTTTTGAAGATGCTTTATTTACTGGTCACACACTCTCTCTTAGCCTTCAGCAGATAAGAGCAATTAAGACATTTTTACTGAGATTTTAATTTTTTCATTCTTTTTAATTTTATTTTGAATCTCTCTCTCTTTCTCTCTGAACATTCCATGATGGAAAGGCAGGATAAATGGAAAAAAATAACACTCAAAAGTAAGTCCCGCTATGTTCAACATTCCCTGTGAGGAGATTTATAATTGCAGTCTCACACCGTACTACCATTGATTTATTTAATCAATGTATATGGCTGCCCATCTTGCAACAGCAACACAGGGTGGCTAATACAGGGTTAAAAACTCAAATACAATTAAACAATAATATACATAATCTGTCTGACATTCCTTTTCTGTAATCTTTAAAACGTGAAGCTTGAAGAAAGAGGAAGAGAAGGAGGAACAGTTATTTCTTTAATATAAGAAAATAGCTATAAAATAGATATGGTGGATTGTTGGCAAGATGTAAGTCATGATTCTTGTGTCTATTTTACAGAAACACCACTCAGACTAAGTGAGCTTTTGGCTTGACAGAGTTTCTCTTGGACTGCCAGGGCTGAGTGAGGCCTAGCAAAATATAGAAACATATCCCAGATGCATCTTGCCTGTATAGGGGGACAGCTTTAAAATTTAGTTGTTGTTGCCACTATTGTCATAAAACTGGCTAGTAATGGCCCCACTCCAGTCTCTTGCCTTTTGGAATGTCCTCGGAGAAAGTCCAATATAAGTAGCAGAATAACTTCCATCAGCTTTCTCCATCCTGGTGCTTCAGTTCCCATCATTCCCAGCCAGCATGGACTTTGACATACTTGGGAACCAGCAAGTTCAGGAAGGTTATTGTGAAGCAAAGCTTCTGTCTTGTCCACAACCCCATTTCTATCCATCCCCTAAGGGTGCTGAAGCTCCAAAGTCTCAACTCCTCAACTCCATATTTAGTAGACAGAGGAAAACATCCAGGACAGGGTTTTACTGCTTACCATGTTCTCCTACTTCCTTCTTAACTTGTTCTGCTACTTGCTTGATGTTGTCTGAGTTTGTCACATCCAGCAGCACCGTCTGGAGTTTATGAGATGACTCCTCTTTCAGCTCCTTTGCTCCCCTTTCGGTCAGGCAACCACCAATCACTTGAAATCCTCGCCTGTCAAAGGTTAGAGCTGCCAGTTTTCCAAATCCAGAGTCACAGCCAGTGATGAATACATATTTCCCTTCAGGATCCACATCATCTAAATTCTCCCCATCTCTCCATTTCCACCATAAAAAGATGACAATTAACCATAGTAGCAAATGGTACCACATGCTAAGATTGTGCTCATCAATTTCCTCCTGAAATAAATATGAAAACAGAATTGCCCCGGGCATTAAATTCATGTCTTTCCCTTGACCCTGAACTTCCATAAATAAATAAATAAAGATGAAGGAAGGACCATGTCTGAGAGGCAGTAACTTCTCTCATAAAAGCCACAGTTAGCTAATAACTTTATTATGATTAATTAAAATGACACAATAGATCATACAAGTCCTTTGGACTTCTTTACCAGGCAAGATGTTTAAAAAGCAGAGGGTGGAGAAAAAGCCAGTAAATCTGAAAAATATGCTTGGTGTTATAGTGATGAGTTATGCTACACAGATCGACATAAGATAGTGCTTATAGTCTGAACATTACTAATGATTAATGGAGGAATGTGGTTTTGAACCAGCTTGTGCTGATCCACTCTGCTATTCTGCTCTATTAGCTATATTAATATTCCTTTCTTGCAGTTCAGTCCAGGCCTACATAATTTTCTCCAGAAATCTTCCAAATAGGGCTACACATTGCACTAAGCTATAACACTTGGGGTGTAAATACAGACAGTATGATTTAGTGTGTCATAAAACCTTAGCTAACTGTGGCTTATTCAGTTAGTCATGTTTAAGCAAAACAGGGCTTAGCACGATATGCAAACATTTGTTTGATCTACTCTGTACTTCCAGTCCATGTCCTGGGACTAATCAACCTGTAGTATATTTGAGGGCACAAAGTCATTGTGAATCATTACCTAATTCACACTCTGCGAGAAAGACATTACAAATTATTTATTTATTTATCTATCAATCAATCAAATGTATATGGCCACCCATCTCACAAAAAGTGACTCTGGGCAGCATACAACAGTCCAATAAAACCATTATATAATAATTATTAAAAACATTAAAAACTATAAAAACAGAACTAAAACAGAACTAAAACAGAAAAGGAAAATAATAATAATAGGTGAAGGGATGTTAATAATAGAGCCACCTCACTAGTTCACCTGTCCCCTGGAGTCCCCAGGCCTGCTGACATAACCAGGTCTTGAGGGACCTTCGAAAACTCAGGAGTGATGAGGCCAATCTCATCTCTGGGGGGCAGAAAGTTCCACAATGCAGATGCCACAGCAGAAAAGGCCTGATGCCTAGGGCCTGCCAAATATAGCTCCCTAGACGATGGAACCCATAACATACCCACTCTGCTAGATCTAGTGGGACAGGCAGATGAAATTGGGGAGAGGCGGTCCCTCAAATAACCCAGTCCCATGCCATGAAGGGTTTCAAAGATCAACACCAGCACCTTGAATTGGACCCAGAAACAGACTGGTAGCCAATGCAGCTCATGAAGCAGAGGTGTAACGTGTGTTCTACCAGAAACACACATAACTGCCTGCACCACCGCATTTTGCACCAGCTGAAGTTTCCGGATACTCTTCAAGGGCAGCCCCATGTAGAGTGTATTGCAGTAGTCCAACCAGGAGGTGACCAGGGCATGAGTGACTATGAGTAAGGCCTCTTGGTCCAGAATGGGCGCAACTGGCGCACAATACGAAGTTGTGCAAAGGTCCTCCTAGCCACAACTGTCACCTGCTCATTGAACAGGAGTTCTGAGTCCAGGTGGACCCCCAGGTTGCGCAGAGTCTGTTTGGGGCAGTGCAACCCCATCCAGAACCAACAGTGATATAATCCCAGAACCAGAGGGCCTCAGAACCCCAAGCCACTCAGTCTTGCCAGGGTTCAGTTGAAGCCTATTGTTCCCCATCCAGACCCTCACAGCCTCCAGACACTGGGATAAGACATCCATAGCATCACTTAAATCATCAGGAGCGGAGATATACAATTGGGTATCATCAGCATACTGATAATACCTCACTCCATGGCGATGGATGAGCTCACCCAGCAGTCTCATGTAGATGTTGACTAGGAGAAGAGAGAGCACCGACCCCTGTGGCACCCCAACAGAACAGGGGTCAAGGGCAGGATCTCTCCTCCCCAGTCACCACCAACTGGAATCGACAATACTGTGCTGCCCACCCCCAATCTTCTGAGTTGATCCAGAAGGACACCATGGTCGATGGTATTGAAAGCCGCCAAGAGATCAAGTAAGGCAAGGATGGATGTACTACCACCATCCTGCCCATGCCAGAGATCATCCAAAAGCGCGATGAATGCCGTTTCCGACCCATACCCAGGTCTGAATCCTGACTGAAAAGGATCCAGATAATCCACTTCATCCAAGGTCCTCTGAGGCTGTCATGCAACCACCTTCTCAATCACTTTCCCCAGAAAGGGGAGGTTAGATGCTAGACAAAAATTGTCCAGTATGATGGGGCCTAGAGATGGCTTCTTGAGAAGGGGGCGAACTAACGTCTCCTTAAGAGGTGAAGGAACAATCCCCTCACTCAAAGAAGAATTAACTATCTCTAGGACCTATGCACGTGACATCCCCCAGGCCACTTTCACAAGCCAGGAGGTAGAAAATACAAATAGGTAGCTAAGTCGGAGAAGTAATTTCTTATGCAGCGTCACCTCGGGATTTCACCAAGCAATTTTGGTTCCATAATTTACCTATCTATACCCAAGGCCAGTTCTACATCATTCCTAAGCAACTGTTAATTTGGACTTTGTTCTTCTTATTTGAACCTGGTTTCATAACAATCATGTATAGAGTCACTTCTTTGTGAGATGAGCAGTGGCTAAATTTGAAATATAAATAAAAATAAATAAATAAATAAATAAATAAATAAATAAATACAGACTTCACAGGAAACTAAATAGTTATGTATTTCAATAACCAACCCTGCCCAGGAAATTTTACTGTACAGGTAAAAAGGTAGGAAAACACCTATAAGTCACATTTCAGCACTAGTGCTCAGAGCCAACCAAACAGCCTCTGAGAAGACAATCCAACAAACCCCGCTCCTCTTCCCCTCTGCAAACAGAATAAACTATCGCTATCAGCTGCCCTTTCATGGCACCCAAAATCATCCACCTGAGGGGATTTTGAAGGCCAGATGTAGGAGGAGAGTTGAAAACAAAAAGTTGCAAAACAAAATACTCATCTTTTATACACTTACCCCAGCCATGCTGGCCTGTGATCTAGAGAACAAGGTGCCTATTTTGTATGCTGTCCCTGAACCAAGGAGCTGCCTGCTTGTCTTATCAATTTACTTCCTATTCTCTGAAGAACCCATTTTAAAAGCAGGGCATTGAGGACATAATGTTGCAGAACAGAACAGATGGATGTGGTTGTCGTCACTTCTTTAGTAATTCTGTTCACACGGAAGTTGAACCGCTTAACTGAGGATGCAAGAGTTTCAGAAAACATATTATTTGTTTGGTAAGCACCTGCAAACACTGTAAATCACTTTGACGCCAAACTTTATTCAGAAACTTTCTATGTCGTTTTTTTCACCCTTAAGAACAGGAATTTGGAATACGTCATGTCACTCACTATTTTAAATAAATTAACAACATTCTGCCATCTTTTCGTTTTTCACACTAATCTATCAATTGTGTTACAAATTACACAGATTGTTTATGTACCACGTTTCTACACAGCTTTTTAATAAAAAAAGGTTCCCAAGATCATATCTGTGCAATAAAATAATGATTTAAAAATAAAATAAAACTGAGACTCATCTTGAATACAAAACAATAGTTATAGCGCATCCTCAATTTAGATCTCTGACATGGTTCCTTCAAGCATACTTGGCTACAAATTCATCGCAACAAGTAGGTCCTTTCCCCAAGCTTTCTTAGGATGGTGGAAGTTACTGAAAGTATCTAGAGGGCTTTAGGCTGATGGAGGCTGGCAATACAATATATTAATTTAAATAATCAAGGCAGGTTTGTTGGTTTCATTACCTCATCACATTTGAAGGGACCGATAGGTTTGTAAGTACAACAGACCCTGCCTTTCTTTTCCCCTAGACAGGAAGAGAAAAAATGTAGCCTCGACTTCTCTGGACCAAAAGGCAGAGAAATGAGAGTGGGAGGAATTGCAATAAAATCCACCATGGCACTCCTACATTCTGATGCCATAACATTTCTAAAATAAAAGAAACTAACTACAAAAGATTACAAACTTTTTTCTGAAAACAACTACAGGAACTTGTTCTACTGAATTCCTGTTCCCATGTGTGCCTGTGGGGATTTCATTTGTGTATCAACAGAAAGTTCATTAAGCAGCAATAATTCCCTTTTCTCCCAAAATTCATCAAAAAGAATAATTTCGTGTTTAACAACCTTTAGGTTTTGCATCCCTCCACTAATTTACGAAAGTGCATCCATAGGTCCTGAAGAAACATCTTTAGTTTAATAGCATCCCCAGCAAAGGGATTTACAAATACACTTTAAAATATTTTAAGAATAATTGAACAGAGCCATTTCTCTCTTTCTTAAAGTATTTCATTTTGTAGAAAAGCTGGTATAATACTGCTGACTTACTACATCTATGGCCATGCTCTCTCAAAGAATTGTTACAAATCCTAGATGTTGTGACACCAACACCAGGAGAAAACCAAATTCTCTCCCTTGTAAGAGACTTTACATACTTGGTTCAGATTTTGGAAAGGGCACTCCAGCTGAACTGCTGAGCTCTGTAATTCCTTTAAATTATTATGAACTCTCTGTATTCTCTCTACTGACTTGCATTACTGTGTTAACAAGTTACAAGTCTGTTTACAAAGAGTATCAGTATGGGGGAGGGTGGAAGGTGGAAGTAAATTCAGGAATCCCAATTTCATTCTCATTTTGCTGATTCAGTTTCCAGAAGAAAATTCCAGAGAGAAATTAGGAGCTAGTAGGACCTGAATTCCTCCTGGAAAAAATGGAAATCAATTTATCTTCATGGCTACTTCATCTGTTGCTACTTGCAACTGCAGGAATCTCTATCATTTGTCTTTTTGGCCCTCCAGGGTAACAATAGAAAACCAAGAGCGAGCTCTAGTTGCACCAGCATGCTTTCCCATCTTGGGAGAGCAATCCCAAATGTACAAACTCTGGCAAAGTGCATCTATATAGAGAAATACCTTTATAGTTCTCCTAATTTTGCCAATCTGGCCAGGAGGAATCAAAGAAAAACAGAGTGAAAATAAATAGAGGGCTTAAGTTGCAATGTGATATCTGTGATATAGAACGGGGGCATCTTGCAGCCCATGAGCAAGCCAGAAAAATCCCAAAAGCTAGTGTTGGTCCAAATGATTAAACTTGCTAATGCGATTGTATTAACTATATCGAGGCTCTAGTAATTAAGTCTTCATCCTACCATCAAGAGCTTCATGCCATGCTCAGTTTGTCTCAGTCCTGATTTAGGGAAGAAAGGAAGGCTAACTGTCCAAGAAGGAGCCGAGCTTTTCTGAACATGGGGATAAAGTGACAGCAAGTCTTTCCACTCTTCTAGGTGAAAAGAAGTATTGATTAATGCGCTCCAGTGACTGGATTAACTCCCATGATCCTTGACCTGCTGTGCTGGAGAGGTTGATGCACTAGATCTACTGGATTCCTTCAGGGTACAGAAGCCTGAGGCTTTAAGCAGAGTTTAGTGATGTCACAAGACAAGGCCCAGTGATGTCACAAACCCCATAAATTCTTAGAGAGAACCACACAGATCAGAAAGCTCGAGAAAACTACATAAATAAATACAGCCAATTTATTCCTAGAAACACATATATATCTTCTCAAAATTACAGTTGTGCAAGTATACAGGCAAACCCACCCATAGCAACTTTTTTCTTCTATTCTCCAAAATTTTTTTCCTTCTAACATACCTTCCCCTGGGTTACTCCCAAATTATGGAGCACACTTTCTCAGGAATTGTGTCTGGTTACTACACTCTCTGGTTTTGGAAAGGGTGTCCAGACACTACTTTCTGACTTGGCCTTCTAAATTGTTTTGTTGATGCTTTAATTGTGTGTGTATTATTTAAACATGTTTTAATTCTGTTCTTTAAAAAATATTCCTGTATTTTATGTTGCTGTTAGCTGACATGAATGTCTTTGTTGGATGGAAAGATGGGATGTAAATCCAATTACCATTAAATTCCCTTTTTCTTGTCTCTAATTTTCTCATTATGATCTATGTATTTTGCAGTTGATGTCCCCCAGATATTAACCTATCCACACATCCAAATAAAATATGAACACACATTGTCCCTCAAGTGGGGAGGAGTGTCATGCATTTTATCCATCATTGCTATGGGTGACTTAAGAAAGGATCTGGAGTGTGACAGTACAAAAAACAGTGAGACAAAGGTGCTTAAATCATGCCCTGGGAACAAAGCAAAGCCAATGTCATGGGGTAAAATTGAGCTTATGGCGGTTTTTTATGTTATAAATGATTACCATTATGTTATATATAACAAAGAACATAGTCCTAAATCAGCTGCTTGGGTCTTTCTTCAAACTCCCCTCCCCCTTCCTGATTCCTTCACAAACCTGAAGGCACATTTATTGAGTTGTATTAAAGCAGAATATCAAGGAGGGTTAACATATTTAAAAACATACAAGATGATCTTGTTCCATTCTCACCATCCCATTTACTCATTCTTTTCTTCACTTCTATCTTGCCTCACAGTAAGGAAGTGCTTCTCTGTTTGGCCTAGCAAACTACACAATTCTGCTACACCAGATTCACAATCAGTACCACAATCCAGAGCATCACCAGCTGAGCCCAAGCAGCCAATCCATGAAGCAGGAGACATAAGGTGGATGTGCTTCATTCCCTCCTTTCCTTAGCTTGCCTTTGAGGGCAACTGCTGCTGGTGCTTCTGCTGCTACACTCCACCCCTCCTTCTCTTCCAGTGCAATAACAAGAGTGTGGAGAAGGCAGAGCACATGGGGGAAGGGTGTCCTCTCTTTTAAAGTAGAAGGGAAGTACAGTGTGGTGAGGCTGGAGTGATATCTTTTAAGAGACCACCATCTAGAGCAGTGTTTCTCAACCTTGGCAACTCTAAGATGTGTAGACTTCAATTCCCAGAATTCCCCAGCCAGCCATGATGGCTGGGGAATTCTGAGAGTTGAAGTCCACACATCTTAAAGTTGCCAAGATTGAGGAACAATGATCTAGAGATTTGTGTGACTGGTCTGACTGCCCACACCAACCACACAAATCTTGGGCCTTCAAGCTCTTGAACAAGCTCAGAGCACAGACTGGCAAGTCTAGCTGAATTCCAGGGAAACCTTTCGGCAGGTGCAGGCAGAGGAATAGCCCCAATGCATTATAATTGGTTTGCAGTTATTATCGCACCTTCTTTAACAGACGATTTGAAAACAAACCCACTACTTTAGGAGATTGTTGTCCAGGGCTGGCCTCATCAAGAGATATACCAAGGCACCCTCCTTAGGCAACAAGTTTGAGAATGGCCTAATTCTGGTCCAATGCTGAAACGTGCTAAGATCATACAGCAACATCTAAACACAGATCCATTAATCAGATTTTTATCTATACTTAATATTTACTTTATTCCTCACAAAGATTTAATTCACTTTTTATAACTAGAAGCCAAATGTGAGATCACAAGGTAATGGAACTTATTAGAGGAATCATCCATGACTAACTGGTAGAGTGGTTTTTTGTGTGTGTGTGCCCTCAAATCAGTGTTGACTCCTGGCAACTGCCTGGACTGGTCCCTGCAGTTTTCTTGGCAAGTTTTTCAGAAGTGGTTTGCCCTTGCCTGCTCCTTCCTAGGGCTGAGGGAGAAGGGCTGGCCCAGGGTCACTCAGCTGGCTTCGTGCCTCAGGCGGTACTCAAACTCACCATCTCCCAGTTTCTAGCCTGGTGCCTTCACCAACCACTACACCAAACTGGCAGTTATAGGAGGAGATATCGCTAGAAGACTGATGCAACAAATACAGCTAACCAACACTCTTGGGTCACTTCAGGATAGGACTATTCTGAAGCTACTTGGCTTCCTTTTATTTGGCATGTTAATAAACAGCAATGGAACTGTTCATTCCCCTTGATTTTCTATTTTTGAAGAAATATACTTAAAAATACAACAAATATTTCTAGTGATTGCAAAATGGTGATACAACTCTTCCAAGTTCACCACCTATTCCTTAATTTTTGTATTCTGTAAAATGTACTACAAGTTATATTTTAATATGTTTAAACTTTAAAAAAAAGTTTCTGAAAAGCAGTATTTTTAGTTAGCTTGTAATAAAGGAATTAAGGGTCCCAAACACATAATGTATGATGGACATTTGACCCACAAACTGCCCAATAGTTAGCTCACACAGGCACTGATTATCCTACAGCAATAAGTAAACTTTTATATCAGAAATAAAATTGGTTCTTACCCTGTTAAACGAAATACTGTGAGCAGGTGCCATAAATGAAAAAGCTCTAGTCACAGCTTGTCTAGGAGAGCGTTTGGTTGCCTCGCTCCTCTACCAGATTGGAAACATTAAAGCATGAATTATGGCATTGCAAGGCAAATTGTAGAGCTAATTATTATGAATCACTTATGAGTCATGCCTGGGTTTCAATCTTCAAGAAACACGTATCAAAAGCAAGAATCTTATTCGTAGTCAAAACTGGGGTGGATAAGGAACTCTTCAGTAAGAGTTCTTATATTTTTTTCAGTAATTTTAAATAATTATTGCACTTGTATGCCACTATTAAAATGTGTTTTTCTCATGTAACTATTTTTAAGCTGTCGAAGGAGTTTTCTTATAAAGTGAAGGGTGGAATCCCAATAAAATAATAAATCTGGAAGTATTTCAGCATAGTTAGAAAACAAGGAAGGTGCCATAATATTGATCTTTTCTCAGAAATTCACTTTCCTTTCAGCGAATTCATTCAAACTCGAATTCATTCAAATATTTATAATTACAAATATTCTCTTTAGTGTGCATGTTGTATTTCAGACACAGTTAAATGCCTTCTGATCCCCTCTGCCTCTCTTCTATTGAGGCTACCATAAACACTTGGGGATGGGGATTTTAAAAAATTTTAAAAAGATTTTAGCTCCTAAGGGCCAAAGCAGTGACATCTCAAGAGGGAAAAAGGCGGCAACCTTTTTAGCTGTTTGAGTTGTTTGTTTAAGAATTAAGATGTGTTAAACCTAGCAGAGGTATTATATAAATATAGTTTATTATGTTGGGGTTTTTTTTAAATGAAAAAGTATTTTGCCACAGAAACTTAGTGCATGATCTGGAAAGCTTCAAGGAGATGTAAAAAAGGGCCTAGGAATATAAAAAAACAACAGAAGATTGCCAAATCCTGCTGTGAGGCAAACTTTGAGGCTTACAATAAGAGCTTTGCTGTTAACCCTCTTCATAAACTGGTTGGGTTTTCAAGCCCTCCAGCAGAGGTCAAAGCTAAGACCCTTTTTTGTCCAGAAAGGGTCATTCTGCGATGGTGTAGCAACTGGGGTGGGAGATAGGCAAAGCAATTGGCTGCTTCCTCCTCATGTAAGTACCAGCAATTCTGGAAGATCTCCCACATGATGTGGGAGGAAGAGGCCATCAACCACCTTTGGGCTCCTGAGTGACCAATAAGAAACTCAGTGACAGCAAGGGGAGCATCTTCTGTCCCTCTAGTAATTGCCCTAGATACATATGCACTGCTCCCTAACATGCTAGGAAGGAAATTTTACGTACGTTGGCTTATTGGCTGCAGCAACACTGTGTTTTTGCTTTCCTCACAGCAACACAGTCCTTGAATTAGCTATATGATAGCTAGAGCTTTGGGACAGATTTGTTTTAACAACAAGTGGGTACAAGACACTATACAACCTGGGAAAGGAGTTCTTCATAGCAGAGCAGAGAACCTGGGATTAAGATTGCAAACTAATTTAGTGGGCTGGCACGTTAGGACAGAATGATGCGACCAACTCATATAGGGACACAGCCAGAGTTTGAACCTTCTGGAAGTTGTTGTCCAAAAGGTGGGACATGTGAAATGTGGCTGATTTCTGGAACACTGCCTCAAGTGCACCAAACCCTTGTATGTTGTAACCAATGGAGTTCTGGTCCCAATATTTCTTATTCCAAATGTAACATGAGGTTGTGTGGTTTACTTTCACTCTCTGGATGCTCACCCGGTCACGTCTGTCATTTCTCCCTTATTAAATGCTGCCAGTGCAATCCAATAATCAAAATTTCCAGTATGTATATAACTTGGAATTGAAAAGATCTGCTCATATAATCTGGAAACAGTATATCCAGAACTGCAGACAATCCCTTTCTTCTCTTTTGCTCACAATAAC